TATCATTATCCAATTTAATTTTCCCCATAGGAAATAATGGAATTCCAATTAATCCGTTCTTGCTGTCAGGAGGCATGACAAAATAGTACTTCAATATGACGCTGTTATCAACTCTACGGCTTATTTATCTATCACAATTCATCTAATATTACATAATAAATAATAATAATAACATAGAAACATGATATATACTCTAGACTGAATAAAATATGTCATAATGTATATGAGGAGTAAGTGCTGGAAGTGTTGTTGTTGGGTTTATAAGGGCCACTGAGAGAAGCCATACATATTAGTGGTGGAGGAGGCTTCTGCCACCACCACTATCCACAAACAATATATGTACGTAATTTATAAATAGGTAGTAGGTTGGTAGACAGCAACCACCCAGGGAAGTACTACCGTCCTGCCAGATGACTGTGAAACAAAAACCTGTAACTGTTTTGCATGATGGTAGGATTGCTGGTTTCTTTTTCTGTCTCATAAACACGCTAAGATAACAGGGATATCTTGCTACTCCTACTTACACTTTGGTCACACTTCACAGACACGCACATGCATATATATATAATACATACATCTAGGTTTTTCTCCTTTTTCTAAATAGCTCTTGTTCTTTTTTATTTCTTCTATTGTCCATGGGGAAGTGGAAAAGAATCTTTCCTCCGTAAGCCATGCGTGTCGTATGAGGCGACTAAAATGCCGGGAGCAATGGGCTAGTAACCCCTTCTCCTGTATACAATTACTAAAAAAGAGAAGAAGAAAAACTTTATAAAACTGGGTTGCTTAAATGTGCGTGGATGTAGTGCGGATGACAAGAAACAGATGATTGCTGATGTTATGAATGAAAAGAAGTTGGATGTCCTGGCCCTAAGCGAAACAAAGCTGAAGGGGGTAGGAGAGTTTCAGTGGGGGGAAATAAATGGGATTAAATCTGGAGTATCTGAGAGAGTTAGAGCAAAGGAAGGGGTAGCAGTAATGTTAAATGATCAGTTATGGAAGGAGAAAAGAGAATATGAATGTGTAAATTCAAGAATTATGTGGATTAAAGTAAAGGTTGGATGCGAGAAGTGGGTCATAATAAGCGTGTATGCACCTGGAGAAGAGAGGAATGCAGAGGAGAGAGAGAGATTTTGGGAGATGTTAAGCGAATGTATAGGAGCCTTTGAACCAAGTGAGAGAGTAATTGTGGTAGGGGACTTGAATGCTAAAGTAGGAGAAACTTTTAGAGAGGGTGTGGTAGGTAAGTTTGGGGTGCCAGGTGTAAATGATAATGGGAGCCCTTTGATTGAACTTTGTATAGAAAGGGTTTAGTTATAGGTAATACATATTTTAAGAAAAAGAGGATAAATAAGTATACACGATATGAATGTAGGGCGAAATGACAGTAGTTTGTTGGATTATGTATTGGTAGATAAAAGACTGTTGAGTAGACTTCAGGATGTACATGTTTATAGAGGGGCCACAGATATATCAGATCACTTTCTAGTTGTAGCTACACTGAGAGTAAAAGGTAGATGGGATACAAGGAGAATAGAAGCATCAGGGAAGAGAGAGGTGAAGGTTTATAAACTAAAAGAGGAGGCAGTTAGGGTAAGATATAAACAGCTATTGAGGATAGATGGGCTAATGAGAGCATAGGCAATGGGGTCGAAGAGGTATGGGGTAGGTTTAAAAATGTAGTGTTAGAGTGTTCAGCAGAAGTTTGTGGTTACAGGAAAGTGGGTGCAGGAGGGAAGAGGAGCGATTGGTGGAATGATGATGTAAAGAGAGTAGTAAGGGAGGAAAAAAGTTAGCATATGAGAAGTTTTACAAAGTAGAAGTGATGCAAGGAGGGAAGAGTATTTTTGGAGAAAAAGAGAGAAGTTAAGAGAGTGGTGAAGCAATGTAAAAAGAGAGCAAATGAGAGAGTGGGTGAGATGTTATCAACAAATTTTGTTGAAATAAGAAAAAGTTTTGGAGTGAGATTAACAAGTTAAGAAAGCCTAGAAAAACAAATGGATTTGTCAGTTAAAAATGGGGGAAGAGGAGAGTTATTAAATGGAGAGTTAGAGGTATTGGGAAGATGGAGGGAATATTTTGAGGAATTGTTAAATGTTGATGAAGATAGGGAAGCTGTGATTTCGTGTATAGGGCAAGGAGGAATAACATCTTGTAGGAGTGAGGAAGAGCCAGTTGTGAGTGTGGGGGAAGTTCGTGAGGCAGTAGGTAAAATGAAAGGGGTAAGGCAGCCGGGATTGATGGGATAAAGTAGAAATGTTAAAAGCAGGTGGGGGTATAGTTTTGGAGTGGTTGGTGCAATTATTTAATAAATGTATGGAAGAGGGTAAGGTACCTAGGGATTGGCAGAGAGCATGCATAGTTCCTTTGTATAAAGGCAAAGGGGATAAAAGAGAGTGCAAAAATTACAGGGGGATAAGTCTGTTGAGTGTACCTGGTAAAGTGTATGGTAGAGTTATAATTGAAAGAATTAAGAGTAAGACGGAGAATAGGATAGCAGATGAACAAGGAGGCTTTAGGAAAGGTAGGGGGTGTGTGGACCAGGTGTTTACAGTGAAACATATAAGTGAACAGTATTTAGATAAGGCTAAAGAGGTCTTTGTGGCATTTATGGATTTGGAAAAGGCGTATGACAGGGTGGATAGGGGGGCAATGTGGCAGATGTTGCAAGTGTATGGTGTAGGAGGTAGGTTACTGAAAGCAGTGAAGAGTTTTTACGAGGATAGTGAGGCTCAAGTTAGAGTATGTAGGAAAGAGGGAAATTTTTTCCCAGTAAAAAATAGGCCTTAGACAAGGATGTGTGATGTCACCGTGGTTGTTTAATATATTTATAGATGGGGTTGTAAGAGAAGTAAATGCGAGGGTCTTGGCAAGAGGCGTGGAGTTAAAAGATAAAGAATCACACACAAAGTGGGAGTTGTCACAGCTGCTCTTTGCTGATGACACTGTGCTCTTGGGGATTCTGAAGAGAAGTTGCAGAGATTGGTGGATGAATTTGGTAGGGTGTGCAAAAGAAGAAAAATTAAAGGTGAATACAGGAAAGAGTAAGGTTATGAGGATAACAAAAAGATTAGGTGATGAAAGATTGATATCAGATTGGAGGGAGAGAGTAGGGAGGAGGTGAACGTATTCAGATATTTGGGAGTGGACGTGTCAGCGGATGGGTCTATGAAGATGAGGTGAATCATAGAATTGATGAGGGAAAAAGAGTGAGTGGTGCACTTAGGAGTCTGTGGAGACAAAGAACTTTGTCCTTGGAGGCAAAGAGGGGAATGTATGAGAGTATAGTTTTACCAACGCTCTTATATGGGTGTGAAGCGTGGGTGATGAATGTTGCAGCGAGGAGAAGGCTGGAGGCAGTGGAGATGTCATGTCTGAGGGCAATGTGTGGTGTGAATATAATGCAGAGAATTCGTAGTTTGGAAGTTAGGAGGAGGTGCGGGATTACCAAAACTGTTGTCCAGAGGGCTGAGGAAGGGTTGTTGAGGTGGTTCGGACATGTAGAGAGAATGGAGCGAAACAGAATGACTTCAAGAGTGTATCAGTCTGTAGTGGAAGGAAGGCGGGGTAGGGGTCGGCCTAGGAAGGGTTGGAGGGAGGGGGTAAAGGAGGTTTTGTGTGCGAGGGGCTTGGACTTCCAGCAGGCATGCGTGAGCGTGTTTGATAGGAGTGAATGGAGACAAATGGTTTTTAATACTTGACGTGCTGTTGGAGTGTGAGCAAAGTAACATTTATGAAGGGATTCAGGGAAACCGGCAGGCCGGACTTGAGTCCTGGAGATGGGAAGTACAGTGCCTGCACTCTGAAGGAGGGGTGTTAATGTTGCAGTTTAAAAACTGTAGTGTAAAGCACCCTTCTGGCAAGACAGTGATGGAGTGAATGATGGTGAAAGTTTTTCTTTTTCGGGCCACCCTGCCTTGGTGGGAATCGGCCGGTGTGATAATAAAAAAAAAAAAATAAAAAAATTTATAAATAAGAAATATTTACATTTTAATTTATAAATAAGTAAGTAAATTTATTCAGGTATACACAAATACAGTTATGTACATAGATTATCATACATAGCAGCATATGTGTAAAGTACCTAGGATAACCAAAAAAGTCAGTGACTTATTTCCATTGGGATCCTTTTATATTTAGACTTACATTTAATTTTATACTTACACTTTTATATTTACACTTACCTTGGAGGAGATGTTAGTTTAATTAGTTAGTTTGATGGAGGAGATGCTGGCAGAGGTTTAGGGTGGTGGAAGATACGTAGCAGGGCGGCATTATGTTCATTGGCTCGATACACATCCAACAGCATTGGAGAGTTACTTTTGTGTTGTTTTTCTCTCGTTTACTAGCCTAACTTACTTGCTGCACTATTAATTCTACACTTTATCGCTGGCTGGCACTATAGCCTTTATCAGTACCTGCTGCTTTAGTATCGTACATATCGCAGTATCCCTGAATCACTGCAGAAGGCACCTTCTTCTCTCTCTTTTCCTCCTCCACCCTGGTACTTTGCTACGAGTTTTTTCTTGAATTTTATTGCTTCTTTCCTTCTTTATCACAGGGCTGGCACTAGAAACTTTCTTTGGGCCCATGGTGGCTTATTGAGCAGTTACAAGAACTAAAAACAATGAAATAATACAAAATATATCGCATGGATGCGTGGAATGTTCCTCCCTGGCTTGTAAACAATGGCACACTACCTTGTACATGGGCTCAGGCTACGCGGACATATTCAGGACGAATGTCCTTAACTGAGTTTTTCATCATTAGCCGAGCCAATATTTTGACGCAAAAACGCATTGGTATCCAATTTTATAGCATTGTTAACTGAAGGTCCACTGTGCTACCAAAATTTCCCAATAACCATTTATCAGATTACAACCATATATCCACATATACTAATGTGTTGTGTAACAGTCACTGTCATAACCACAACCAAGGTACTGTTGACAAGACACAAAAATAAGTACTACATTTATGCATTTTTTATTTCTTTTCTCCAGCGGCTTATCCTTACTATAATGAAGAGCCATTTGTAATGGATTTGTGTCCAGATGTTATGTTTACTGGAAACCAAGAAGCTTATAGCACTCGCATTATGGAAGGTAAGTAGAAATATCCATGTTAGTTTGCTTAAGTTACCTTAATCTTCAAATAAAACCTGTGTTGTATTGGCTATATCTGATGTAAATAGTTTAGAAAACCGATAAGCTGAAGAATGAGACACGTGCAACATTTGGGAATCTTTATTAATGTTTTGTTCAGCTAGGCTGAGAGACTTGATTACTTCAAACTCCTCTTCTTCCACCATTCTTCTTTGTACTGGACTGAAGAAGTCACTGGCTGGCAAAATGTTTCTGTAATAAAGATTCCCAAATGTTGCACAAGTGGAAGAGGCTGTAAGTCAGCAGGGAAATGAAGTGACTCATAAAATATAAAGGCTTAAACTCTTTTGGGTGTGTGTTCACCCTAGTATATATCCTAATGGAAAAAATTTCTCTATTTCCTCTTGTAAGTGGTTTCCAGGTAAAAGCACATCATTCATTTTTTCTTCTACATGATTTTTTTTTTTATCAAACCGGCCATATCCCATTGAGGCAGGGTAACCTAAAATGAAAAACAAAAGTTTCTCTTTTTAAATTTAGTAATGTATGCAGGAGAAGGGGTTACTAGCCCCTTGCGTCCGGCATTTTAGTCACCTCTTACAACACAAATAGCTTATGGAGGAAAAACTCTGTTCCACTTCCCCATAGAGGATTCTGATCTGTTAATATTTAATATCTGATCCATGAATGATTTGATTTTAACATTTCAGCCATCTCCCACTGAGATAGGGTGAACTGAAAAAGAAGAAACGCTTTCACCACCACTCACGCCATCACCATCTTGTCATAGGCATGCTGACATTACAGTTCAGGTGCCCTTCCAAACTGTAATACTGCCACCCCTCCTTCAAAGTGCAGGAACTGTATTTTCCACCTCTAAGACTCAGATCTGGCTAATTGGTTTTCCTGAATCCCTTCATAAATGTTAACTTGTTCACACTCCAACAGTATGTCAGTTGTACATGTTATTAATTGTAGTAGTTTATAAATAACTTTACAACTTTTACACTGTCTCTCTGTCCCTATCTCTTGTTACTTAATCTTATATTTGTGCCTTGCTTCTTTTATGCTAAACTAATAATAATTGCATGAATATCTTGTTTCTGGCGAGTGTGCACGAGCGTGTTAAATAGGAGTGAGTGGAGGCAAAGGGTTTTTATAACTTGACATACTGTTGGAGTGTGAGCAAAGTACAGTAAACCGTTATTTAGCACAGTAGTTACGTTCCTGAAAATGCCATGTTAGGTAAAATCGTGTTAAGTGAACTGAAGAACTTATGGGAAAAATAGGGTTATGTTCCTGGGAGCCCCCAGAAAGCCAAACAACTTTTTTTTAGACCAACAGATATTTCAAAAATAAAAGTGAACATGTAATTGTAGTTCATTGCCGTGATATATTACTGCTTAAGACTACAAATGCAATAGAAATAATAGTATTTCTTACCTTAAATTGTGGGTAATGGTGTGTGTGGATGATTGTGGAGAGGTGGATATGGATGGTGTGGCCCTACTGGGCTAAGGTGGATGGTTGTTAGTTGTTGGCAGAAGTGGATGGTAGAGGTTCTGGTACTGAAGTTGATGGTTGTATTGGAGTGTGCATAATATCTGTAATGGATCTCTGAGCTCTTTTACCCTGTAATACATTATACATCATCAGCTGGTCTAGACCCCATTTTAAAGCACTGCTTCTAGATTTGTTAGGGTTCTCTTCAGTGAAAAAGTCTGCTAGTTTAGTAGTAGCATGGAAGTGCTCACATAACTGCTGCAATGTTAACTGTTTTTCTTCAGGTTCTTCTTCTTCTTCTTCTTCTTCTTCTGTTATCTCCCTCCCCTGTATCTGTGCATCGAGCTCTGCCAACATATCCTCTGGACTCCTGTCTTCATCATCATCATCTTCTAAGTGCTCATTCACACCTTCATTCATATCTTCAAAACTATCACCTGATAATCTCCTTGCCAGCTGAACAATTTTCTGAACCTGACTCCCAAGCAAGGTAAAACCAGTGAAAGAATTAACCACAGAAAGCCATAACTTTCCCCAGCTTGCATTTAATGTTGATAGGGGCACTTCATTCCATGTACTTCTGGCATAGCTGATAGCATCTGCAATGTTAAATTTATTCCAGAAGCTTGGTACTGCCAAGTTGGAATCAGATTCTATTGATGCAACTAGTTTTTTCATGCCTTTTTTTGTGTAGTTACACTTGAATGACTTAATAACTCCTTGATCCAGTGGTTGTATTAAAGATGTTGTATTTGGAGATAAAAATACAACTTTTACATGTGGGGTCACATCCAGCAAAGCTTGTGGATGAGTATAGGAATTATCAGGAATGAAGAGAGCCTTGAATGCAAGGTTGTTGCTGTGCAGGTAAAACTTGACTTCAGGAATAAAGTGATGCTTTAACCAGTCAATAAATATTTCCTCTGTCATCCATGCTGACTGGTTTGACCTCCAAATTACTGGTAAGGTATTTTTATCTACACCTTTCAAAGCACGAGAATTCTTAGAGCAGTAAATAACCATGGGCATACACTTGAAATCACCTGATGCATTACCACAAAGGAGCAAGGTGAAGCGATCCTTTGCTCTCTTGAAGCCTGGTGCACTGTTCTCTTGCTGACTGACATAAGTTCATGTTGGCATTTTTTTCTAAAAAACACTTGTCACATCAGCATTAAACACTTGATGTGGCTCATAGCCACCCTCAGAAATGATTTCCTGCAATTCAGCAGGAAAATTACTTGCTGCTATATGATCAGCTGAAGCACTTTCACCAGAAAACTTAATATTATGTAACTTAAAGGTGTGGAACAAGCCTGTGCTAAACACACACACTTTTTTAGGCCTTCCTTCCTTATCACACGCTGCTTTAAACAACTGTAAGGCCTTTTCCCTAATTAAGAGGAAATTGTCTTTTGTTCAGTCCACTCAAGCAGCAAGTTTGCTGTTTTATTTACTTGTTGAGACCTATATGTCATTCTTTTCATGAGTTGATATCTTGGGTTATTCATTACACAAGCTCGTATATTCGCCTTGTTCTCTTTAATTGTACGAACCGACGCTTCATTAAGGCCATAGGCCCTCACTATGTCCACCACACGTGATCCACTCTTAAGCTTGTCTAATATCTCAATTTTCTTCTCAATTCCTAGACTTGAACACTTAAACCTTTTCTTGTCACTTTCAGCAACACTTGTATGCTTACTGGGTGCCATGATTTAACAAATGGCAATGAAAATAGAAAATATGTATGTAAATAAACACAGCGAAGTTCTCGAGTATCTTCGTCTTGCACACGTATGAACCAAACTGGAGGCTGGGAGTGTGGTGGGGGTGGGTGGCAGGGGGATGGCAGTAGGCCTCCCCCATTGACTCAATGGTATAACCCACCGCGGGCGACCAGGAGACCACATACTCAAAATTTTTCCCCTCCCGCGAATCGTGTTAAATTGATTATACGACGTGTTACATAAAATTGTGTCACAATTCTTCAGTCATGCTATACTCAAATTGTGCCAAATAAACTCATGCTAAATGATGGTCTACCGTAACAAGCCCGACTGGCTAGTCAGGCTTGAGTCCTGGAGGTGGAAAGTACAGTGCCTGCACTCTGAAGGAGGGGTGGAGATATGTTGCAGTTTTTTAAACTGCAGTATTGGCATGCCTCTGGGAAGACAGCGATGGATTGTGCGGGTCATCCTGTCTTGGTAGGAGACAGCCGGGAGTACTCGCTAAAAAATTTTATTCTGCATTTTTGCTCTTAACATAAATATTATGCATTAAATTGAATATCATTGTGTCCATAGCTGAGGGCGGCCACAAGGTGACGTTAGTAAGTGTTCCACGTTTTAATAGTACGGGCACGTGTGCCCTGGTGAATCTTCGAAGCTTAGAGTGCCAGCCCTTGGCTTTCTCTGCTGACTCTTCAGACATTAACATTTCAAGCGGCCAAGAAGCAGAGAAATGAACAAGTCCTAAGGATAATAAAAAAATGTGTTCAATACAGACTTAAAGTTTTATTGTATTTAAGAAAAATCAAGTGTTAGAGTTGTTTTGCCACAGTGGCCATTTCCCGCCACAGCAGGTCAGTAATGTGTGCATGAAGTCCTTGTGAATTATCATTTTGAAGATATTTTAAGTGAAATAATTTGTTGACTTTGGCAACAGATACAACAGTGGATTCTGTTTATCAAGAGACTGGGCTTTCATAATGACCAGTACATTACTGAATAATATTTTTGTAATTCCAACAACAAAATGGGGGATTCATAACTTTACAACACTACTGTAGTACGTCTCTTGAAGTATTGTGTTCATTATTGTGGAAATATTTGTATTGCACAGTGTCATTTGCTGTCTTTAATTTTTGTAAGTAATAGTGTAGTTTTGATACTGTATTAGAAATAAAAACACTCAGTATTTGTAAATTATCTTGACCTATAAAATAAGTGAGATGTATATAACCTATGTTTTTTTTTTTTTTTTTTTTTTACATTTTGTACTGATATACCTCAAATACATATATTGTTCATCTACAGGAGATATACCTCAGTTATATTGTTTCTTTACAGGACATTTGTATTTTCCATTTAATACTGTGTCAGTCTGCATTATAAACTCCATTCCAGTTTTTACATTTTGTTGCTGTTACTTTAGAGTAAAATGTCAGTAATGAAAGAGACTGGTATGTAGGAGCAAATAAACAATAAAGCTTCATAGCGTGTAACAGAATTCTCTAGCGCATACTTCTAAGCTTAAGTTTTCTGAAGAAATTCAACCCATACAATTTATTTTTAACCCTTTGAGGGTTGAGACCCTTGCTCGCAAACTTACTCCCAAGGTCAAAGAATTTAAAAAATATATGTATTTTCTTAGGAAATGATAGAGAATTTTTTACCAAATGTAAACCAAAAGCACAAAATTTGATGGAAAACCTAGGGAATTACACTCGCAAAGTTAGCAGTCTTGGCGATATTTACGCATCAGCAATTACCCCCTTTTTGAGCTTGGTTTTGGGCCAGTTCCATTGTTCCAGTCGACCAAATTCATAGCTGCTTAGCTAGAACTCCTTTTATGAGTACAAGAACCTGCACATTTATCTATTGCAACTACCAAATAAAGTGATCAGAAATTACTAATTTGGTCAATTTCACACAAAATTCAAGAAAGGCTAATTTCAAAATAGGGTCCAGAATAAATAATGTAGACATTCCTGACATTAAAATAACATTTTCTCTGTTTGTTAGTCATGTCTCCAGGACCCTCTTATATTATGCTTGCTTTTCATTTTGAATTTTTATTCACACAAAAAAATAGAATATTTACTGTTATTCAAACTACTGCATAATGGTAATAATGTATAAATATTGTCAGTGCATTCGTGAGTGCATATTAGACTGGCCAGTTGACATGTATTGGACGAATGACGTGTTTTGTTTACTCTTGAACATCGGCAAAAATCGAACATTTCCACTACTTTGTGCTCAATTTCAAGCCTACTCTTAGTCTGTACACCACTCAAAATCATCTCTATTTTTTGTAATATATCTTCCATTCTATCAAACGAGACCAAGAAACCGAGAATACAACCATAAAAAACAAACAAAAATACACCACAAAGTTGGTGTTTTACACCAAAAACACAGTTGCAGCTTTTTTTCTCATTTTGCATTGTGTGCTGCAGGATTTTTTTTATACTGCACACACTGACCATGCAGACCCAGTCTCTCATGTGTAGGTCTACTAGCTTTCTCCTGCAAGATTGGAAGCTACTAGAACTTTGGCATAGTATTACGGGACCGACCCTGGCTTCAAAGCCGTAATTTTACGGGACTGACCCTGAAAGGGTTAAATATACTGTACTTATTCAGAAATAAGATGTGCTGTTGACCTTCACACTTGTGACCTAGCTAGTTCCTCATAAGCCTTTGTAAGTCGGGTTGTTGTAAATTGAGCCTTTATTTGCCACAGATACATAACTACATAATCCATGTTGGTTCGTTAACCCTTTCAGGGTCCAGACCCCTGATCTGAATTTCTTATGAAAAGTAGAGAATCTTTTTCTGAAGGTAATGAAATAAAATGTGTGAAGTTTGATGGAAAATTGACAAAGTTATGTCATCACGAATTTTGCTGCATCAGCGATATTTACGCATCGGCAATTTTGCTGCATCAACGATATTTACCCATCAGCAATTTTGCTGCACCAGCAGTATTTATGCATCAGCAATTTTGCCCACTTTGACTCCTATTTTAGGCCAATTACATTGTTCCAGTTGACCAAATTCTTAGCTGTTTTACTAGTATGCCTTCTATTTTATCAATTGAGCACAAGAAACTGCCCAATCAACTATTTCAACTACCCAATAAAGTGATCAGAAATTAGTAATTTGGCCAATTTCACACAAATTTTAAAATATTCCAGTTTCAAAACAGGATCTAGAATTATCAATGCAGGCATTCCTGGCACTAAAATAACATTTCCTCTTTTCATTAGTTATGTTTCCAGGCTTTACACATAAATTCCATTTTGATTTTTTATTCACACCAATAAAACAGAAGAATTACTGTTATGCAGTATTGTAATAATTGTATACAAAATATCAGCGCATTTGTGAACACATATTAGACCCACCAACTGACGTGTATTGGACGCGTAATGTGATTTGTTTGCTCTTGAACATTGGCAAAAATCGAACATTTGTGCTACTTTGAACTCAATTTCAAGCTATTTTCAGTTATAAAACCAATCAAAATCATCTCTTTTTCTGTAATATATCTTCCAGTCTATCAATTGAGACCAAGAAACCATGACTACAACCATAAAAGCCATACGAAAAAATACATCACAAAGTCGCTATTTTAATCCAAAAACGTGGTCGCATTTTTTCTCATGCACTGCATGCTACAGGATTTTTTTTATATGGTGCATACTTACCACATAGATGCATTCTCTCATATCTAAGCCCATATTTACTGCTCACAGCTTATCTGAGTGAGCTGAGCTTATGGCATAGAGCTACAGCACTGACCCTGGCTTCAAAGCCATAGAACTACGGCATGGACCCTCAAAGGGTTAATTAGTTACAGTGATATCTCTATTTAATCCTAGGATTTGCTTATATATCTTTGTATTACATAACTTTTGTATTACATAACTTTTGTTTCTAAAAGTAGATATTAAAGTCACCTAGAATTATTGTCTCACAGTTGGGTGTAATTCTGAACTCTGCTATTGCAAAGTGTTCTCAGAACTGATTGGTTATACTCTAAGTGAAGGGAATGGTAACCATCTGCTTCTAGTATGAGTTTCTTCATACCATTAGTTTACCCCATTATTGTAGTACAATTGGGTCTTGCATTGTATTCAAAGTAATTTCTTATGTAAATGCATAGCCCACCCCTCTATTTGTCATTCCTCCAAATATTTTGTGTTCTAATCTTCTGTTATCACAATAAAATCAAAAGTGAAAGGGCCACTTGTTTTTTTGTTCCCCTACTTGTCTCTCAGTCCCTTTTATCCTTCCCCATCCTCCTCCTCTTTTCCCTCATTATCAGGGTTATGGTTAAAAAAGTTGAAGAACAGCTCCATCACACTGAGGGTTTATACAGTCCCAGGGCCATCCTTGCCCTGCTACTCAACTCACTTCAAGGGGAATATGTTGATGCTGGTAAAGGGCTCTTATTCCTGGGAAATAGAGCTGTCCTCTCTCTTCTTGAATCAAACCTGATTACTTCCCAGTCCTCTACAGGTTTAGCTTTTCCACAGTAATAATAATGATAAATATAATAATGATAATAATCAACAACAGCTACCAACTTTAACATTAAGGTTCAGATGGCTACAGAGCTGCTGATGCTCTTCAGATCATCAGTTATCACAGCATCAGATGTGTCATTTGGCACGGTCAGTGGTCACACACATGGCTCTCATCAGAAAGGGCAGGAGGATCAGTTCACAGACCTCTTAGGAGGTGTATTGATGCCAATGGAGAGCTCTAGATCAAAAGAACTGGACATATAGGTCTGAAAATTTATTTTGAATTTACACTATTGAGTAATTTAGCAGTGTGAAGTAGTAATTGTAATATATGAAATGTCTGTAATATTGACAATGACATAACACCACAGTGGGGTCTGATAAAGACCCATTCTCACTTCTGTAATCTTGTTTTTTTTCACTTGCTCTCAGGATGAGCATGTGGTGCACCATCAAGCAGCCCCTCAGGCAACACAACTGAAAAACTATCTGGATCAGAAACTCGCCAGATTGGATGTTTCTTTGTTCATCAGTGCACCAACAGACAGAGGATGTTGCCATCCTCCATTACAAGGTGTCAAGGATTTTGTCAACCTCACTGAGTAGCGCATAGTGTGCAATTACTTCTTTGGGAACAAACTTAACAAACTTCAGACAGATATGGCCATGGGGTCCCCAGTAAGCCCAGTCCTCGTGCATCTGTACATGGAGTTCCTTGAATCTGAAAGACTTCCTAACATTGTCCCTACTGGAGTATCATGGATGAGATATGTCTGACATACATCCTCATCAATGTACTTAACACCCTCAATATCTTCCAGCTCAGAGACGATCTCAACACTGTTAAGCCTTCCATTCAGCTCACTTTTGGAGAAAAAATAACTTTTCCTTAATGCCCTAATTTAGTGTATAGTAACCCCATCAACTAGAATGATCTCATTAATTTATAGTCTCACCTCTCCACTAGAACCAAGATAAATGTTTTGTTGGGTTTCTAACAACTCAGAATCTACAGCCCTGATTTTCTAGAAGATGATTGCCTCAGAAGCACAGAGATCTGCAGTTTACATTTTTCCATTACCTTCATACAGGATTGTAGAAGAAAAATAGAGGATAATTAACACCTTAAGAGTCCATAACTTCAATAACTGTGTTATAATCCAACCAAGTTCCATGCTAACTGAGAATGTTAAGTTACTTGAGAAAGCCAGTTACATCACTGCCACCATCAAAGATATTTCTAAATGTAAGAGGATTAAGGCCAGCCCCCTAGGAAAATGCAGTCATCTGATTATTAAGACACATGCACCACTTAGGTATCTTTAATGAAACATGTTTCACCTGTATAGCAGGCTTGTCAGTTTAATATAGATACGAAGATGGAGACTTTCATATTGAAGCCAGTAGAAGTGTGGAGATAAAGCAGTTAAAGACGTGGTCACATGTGAGTGGGCCCCACCAGTGGAAGTAGGTCAGGCCCATAAGTAGGCCAGAGATTTAACAATGGAGTTGTAAAACATATTCTCTGTTAAGATTCTATGGTGTTGCTGTGTTAGACAAGTATCATTGTATTGCAGGTATAATACCAAAAAGTTGACACTTTGATATCCAGGTGTTGTAGTCATCAATTTGTTGGTATTTCACTTCTGATCTAAGAATGCAGGTGTTTAATCCATTACTTGTAGCTGTATTGAAGTACCTGGAGTAACAACTGGGAATTTGTCCACACATATCTGAACACAAGACACCTTCCACACCAATAGCATCAACAACACCTGTGTTTTACATCATAACAGATCTTTACCTTACAAGAAATACCCCAGAGCAAGTAATATAAGAAAAATTATATAATTGGTATCTCCCCTCAGGAGAGGATCCTTGATGCCGGTGAGGGGCTCTTGATCCATGGAATTGAATCGGAACTCCCGTGGATTGAACCTGATTGCCTCCTTTTCCCTCAGGAACTGTATGCCCCCCTATGGGTTTAACATGAATGTGATTATGTAATTAATGCTCATTCATATCACAGTCACAATTTTAAAAAGGAATTTTCCAGTTGGTGAGCCCCCTGTCTCACATGTTCAGCACACATCACCCTCCTGACCTGACAGTCAAGGCTCGTACCTCGTGCCTTGTCACCTGCTCTCCCAACTGTATATAACTATGCTTATCCTAAACTCGAAAAAACTTGGTCTCCAGTCGAAACTCTCTCAGTAAAGGTTTCCATTCTGCCATAGTATCTTTAGTCTTTAGTAGTTTACTGGCTTTACAGCCTTCACCAGGTTTTCTTCCCTTGAATCCTTGGGCAGAACCTCAGTGCCATGGTGTCCCATGGCTTGGTTGGCAATGCTCTCGCTTCACACGCTGAGTGTTTATGTTCAGTCCCTGACTTGGGTGAAAACATTGGGTATGTTTTCTTACACGTGTTGTCCTTTTTCACCCACCAATAAGTAGGTACCTGGTGTTAGTCGACCAGTGTGGGTGGCATCCTGGGGGACAAGCTTAAGGGGAAGTGCTAAACCCATAGAATTATACAGTGCCTGTGGGGGGATGTGGAAGGTAATCAGGCTTAATTCAGGGAATTGGAGCACAAATCCAATTTCCTAGATCAAGAGCCCCTCACCAGTGTCAAGGAACCTCCCTTGAGGGGAATTAAGAGAGGTCATTCCATGAAATGACCGTTCTTGCCCTTAAGCTAACAATAACAAGGTAGTAACTGTTTTTTGGGAGGAATTTCCGCTCTGGCCTTGAAGTGCAGGTATCTTACTCTATTCTGTCATGAGCATCAGTGACGAGTTTCCCCATTCTCTCTCCTAAACATAATTCTTATACCAGCACACAGCCAGCTGGGTAATTAGTAGCGCCATTTATCCACTGTAAGCTTCAGGGGTTGCCATGGTTAAGGCGTGGGTTCCATCTGACCTAATTTGGAACTTTTTCTGTTTCTGTTTTTGAAGGAAATTCATGTTTGCTTCCCAATTCCCGGACACCTTTGAGCATTAATAAGAAACTGGGAAGTGGCCTTAATACAACGTTGCAATCCTTGACCCACACACTAAATGATGAAGAGTTCGAGCCTATTGATCGATAGGAAATTCTGGTCCACACTTCGACCTTGCTGTTGGCCTCAGGGTGCATCGGGGACATGATACACATCACCAGTCCATGTGACTTCTAATTTGGATGAGGTTTCTTCACCGAGATCGATATGGCGAAAGCTGTTAGTGATTATAAACCTCAATGCAGTGCTATATGAGCCTTGTGGGTTTAGCGCTTGGTTTTGATTGTAATAATATAAACCCCAACAAGCAAACTACGGCGTAAGTTATGGTGGCTTTATAAAACACAAAGTAAGAAAATAGTTATTGTTAATGACTGTTTATCACTGGGACAGCACTATGATCCTGGTGAGTAATGCTTAGCTTTTATTCTAATAATTATGACTAGGATTAATGTGTCAGCCTTCGTTGAGTTAGGTTAGGTAAGATTCGTCAGGAAACAGGACAAGTGTCTCCTGACTTGGGTCTTGGTCATATGATGACTCGCCGTTAAAGCTTTTGGTTATCTGACCGAGGCTTTCCACTGGCTTACCAGTCCACCTCTTTAAAAATTATGGTCATAGTTATAACCATTTGATTATCTCGTCGAGTGTGGACGTCTCGATCTGGCATGAGCATCAATGACAAATTTTCCACGTTTTTTCTGGGACTCTTCTCATCTACCTTGTATATGAATGTTATACAATACTGTCAAGATGAAGTAGACACTTATGCAACATTCTAGGCAGAGAGACTGATTACTTTGGTCTTTTGTACATAGGTCTACAGTTTTCTCATTCCCTTTATGTCCTTGAATTTGTATAGATAATGGTGGTAAGTAAGGCACATATGCAACAGTTAGGCATATTTGTTCCGAAAACGTTTCGCCTGCACAGTAGACTTTCTCAGTCGAGTACAAAAAAGTTGGCAGTAGTAGAGATGTTCTAGCTTTTTTGTACTCGATTGAAGAAGTCTACTGTGTAGGCGAAGCATTTCAGATTAAAGATGCCTGACTGTTGCATATGTGTCTTACCAACCTGTCAGTATTGTATATCATTTTGATATTGTATTGATAATGTCACTGGATGGCGAAATGCCTACAAATAAAGATACACAGATGCTGCACATAGTGTCTAATTCCTCATCTATTATGTCCGCCGGGCACAGTACAGGAGGGGCACCTGTCATCGGCTTAATTTTAACCAGCTTCATGTTTCAACTCTGCGGATAATTCTTTAATGGCTTTGGTGGGAAGCAGGTTACTAAACTTAGATGGAGTGTAGGCATCTCGCTCTGCCGGGCCTTGTTAAGGTGGTCCATTTCATTTAATTGGGAACCTCTAGTTTCCGTTTTTATTAACAAAGGAACTCGTGTTCCCTTTTCTTTCACTGTCCAACGTTGAGCAACATATCTTCCCTGTACAGAACACACAGGCACAACACAAAACACAAAACTCTCTTCGACATCCTTCGTGTTCGCCTCACCTTATGCAAAAATGCAATGCACATAAAGGGACCCAAGATCTGGAATTCATTGCCTGAACCAGCAAATTGTCCCCTGTCAGAGCTATAATTAGTAAGTTTATTCAGGTATACACAAATACAGTTCACATAGATTATCATACATAGCAGCATATGTGTAAAGTACTGTGAAGGCTTACTCAGCCCTGTAACAACTTCAGTC